TATATATATATATATATATGATTTTTTAATTATTTAAATTACATTTTCCTTGTGTTTTACATTGTTACAGTTTTTATCATGGCAGTGATGATTGGTCATATCAACAATTCTATCGTTAATTTACTAATAAAATGTGTTTTGTGAAGTTTTCGCCACCAGAAGAGTGAACTAAGGATTTTCATAATATTAATATGTATAGTCACTACCCGTTGTCTGAACTATCTCTTAGATCTGTTAAATTTATTGAGACAACTACTGAGACAACTGATAACTGCATTAGAAAATAGATTTAATCAAAAAGGTATTTTATAACATTATGGTTATATGGTGATATTGTGTATTAGATAAGGTAGACATATTTGTATCTACAATACCGTAGAATAGATTTTAAATAATTTACTTTATTGTGTCTCTCATGTTGCAGAAAAATCTGATAATGCAAAATAATGTGAATTGTAAAGGCATACAATTATGTGTATTGGGAACTGGTTTTGTCAGCATCTTCATTCTTAAGCTCCAGCTAATAAAATTGTCTTCTAAAAGCCTAAGAAAACTTTCATTGAAAGCAACACATCAGCGTGTCCATCATTTCAAAGTGAAAAGGAATGATTTTGCACCTTTGTCTCCGTTCTGCTAAATTAAGTAATCTGCCTCCTGTCTACGGGTTCCCTCTGTATTTTCTCATTACAAGAATATTGATTTAGGTGATATGACTGAAGTAGCATTTCTTTTTGTGGGCTTCAATGTAACTTCAAAAGAAGCACTGTTCATAGTTAAAACAAGAGCTATAGAAGTAACATGAGAATAATCAAATGGAGAGTGTCATGTTAGACAGGGGCCAATCTGCTGTGGATTACCAGCATGTAATTAATATGGCCTCCATTGATTTGCTTGTTCTTCCTGACATGTCAAATCAATCCAAGAAGACAAAGCAGAGGCAGAAGAGTGTGCTGTTTCAACATGGCAACACTGTGGCAAACAAGTGTGGAGAATGGGGTTGGCAAAGTTTCATTAATTGTTGTTGAAGTGATCCATAAAATGCACATAAGCACACTAGCAGGTGTCAGTTATGATCAATTTAAAGGTAAAAAAAGAATGCAGTCGATTGACAAGTATGGTAGCCTGGACAATTATATATATATATATATATATATATATATATATATATATATATATATATACATATATATACATACCGTATATATACAGTATATATGATAGTGTGTGTGTCTGTGTTTCGAGGGGAAGTCAAAGGAAAACTGTTGCCTTTCACTTGTTAAATAGTTGAATCTAGTTTTTTTCATTCTTTTATTATAAAATCCTGTCGACATTATACTCAAGTTAGAAGCTAATCTGAAAAAAAAAATATAGATAACCTGGGAGCAATTATAGGTCATTACAAATTATAGGTCATTACAAATCATTTATTGGACAAATTATTCTGAAAAAAAAAGAGTTGATCTTACAATTGTTGAAAATATTTCATTAATTTCATCACATTATTGTGAATCCTCCATCTTACAACATTAGTGCCTCATATTTAAATAACAGATTTGTTTTTATTAGTATGGGAAACATCAATATTCCACTGGCAGCAAGAAAAGATTTAGTTACAACCAAAATCTGTTTTTAAAACCCAAAGAATGCCTGAAGCGATATTTCTTTATTTCTCTCTTTGCGGTTACTACGGTAAAATAGTCTCATAACTTATATAAAACCTAAGGTCTTGGGGTAGTTTAACTGGAAACATTACCAAAAAAATAAATAAAATTACAGTTTAAAATAAATGCCACTGAATTATGAAATAACTTTTTGAATCAAGCAGATATACTGTAATAAATAACACAAATCTGAATCAGGCCACTGAGCATAATCTAGCATTTGGTATATATTGCAGGAAGAAAATAAGGCTCCAGAAACCAGAGGAGAAGATTTGCAGCCCGGCTCCAATATCAAAACAAGGGCAGATGTCACACTTTTCTGCTGCATCTTTGACAGATGCGGTGATTTATGCTTTGTGTATCTGGATGCTGCATGCCTTTCAGCTACAGCTTTATTCCCATTTCCCCTCCAGTCAGACTGTTTCTGACGAGGGCACCGGGTGATAACACGAAGCAATAACTTATAAAGGCATACGGTTCACCAGTAGCAGGTATTAATTCAGAGGCAGTGGGGGAAAATGATCATAATTCTAAGGGAATGGCAGGGAGCTGCTACAGGATCCATAAATAGATTTAAGTGTTGTAGTGTGCATGTGGGCTTTCTTCACTGAACCAGTCACAACCAGTCTACAGGTATCTCCTTTTTTCTCTTGTATTTACAGAAGGAACCTTTACTCCCGCATGCTTCTGTTTCATACCATGCTTTTTGTCTTGCATATTGGCATGAAACTTTTGTCGCTTTTTGGCTCTAACTTTTTTTTTTTTTTAATGAAGTAAAAGAAAATTCAATTTATCAACTTAAAGCTGCTCTAAACACTGTAATAATATAATTCACTGAAATAAAAAAATAACCTAAAAAAAATATTTTATATATACGTAGCTATTTAGAAAAAGACAGGCTGTTATAACTCAAATGTTTACCAAATAACCATCGAGCCTATCTCACAAAACAAAAACATAGAAAATAGGTTCGTTTACTTTAATATTTCTTTAGCAGAGACACCATGCATGTTTTCTTGTTAGTAATATTAGTAAGTCAATGCAAAGATTAGTATTTTCGCAGAGATTAACAGCCTGAAAATACTCATGGAAAATGCTGAAAATCTGAATTGTTCAACAATTGGGGATTTATTAAGGCTTTTACATAAAATGACCATAACAGTAATGCTAACAGAAGCACATAAATGCTTTGTGCTACACAGACTTTATCTTAGGAAGTGTTTTGAAGCCCACAGTTTCAAGGGTGTGGAGTGAACAAGATTTTTATTACCGTATTCATTACTAGCACATCCAAGGGCGTGTTTGCTAATTCAGAGCAGAAATGGGATAAATTAAAATTGGAGCTTGCAATGTTGCTTTGAATGTTTGGCTTTTCTTTAGTCGTGTAATTCCAAAATTGAAGTCGACATTGACCTGTGACTCTATGGGCAATGTCCTGTTTGCAGCAGTTCCTAAAGAAACACAGGTGTATTTTGGATAAATGTTCTCTACTTTGACATTAGAGAAAAAAGGAAGAGAGACAAAGGAAACAAGTGAGGAAGGTAAACATTGATTGCCTAGAGAGAAAATACATCCTTCCCATCCATCAATTCTGCCTGCCTGTCATCTGTGGAGTTTGCAGGAGAAGAAGGGAAAACAAGAGGAGTGCGTGCTAATTCTCACCGCAGGGCTCCACTTCCACCTCTCTGATGGGAAGCACAAACAGAAGCATTTCGAGAAAACTGGCAGTATACGCTTTCTAGCATGTTAACAGCCTCCATTAAGTATAACGAGATAGACAACTGAAGATTAGAACTATATGTTTAGGTCTGTTAACAGATAACTATAAGTAAACACTTAGAGATGCCTTTTTCATGTTAAGCTGACAAGGGAAAAAGTTTCTGGGACCATATTGGAGAGATTAGCCCAATTCAATGAAAGATCTGAAAATAAGCTGGGTAATGCATTTGATTATAGACCCTCTTGCCCATAAAGGTGGAAAAAACTGGTGTTCAGACTCATATCTCTTTTTGTTTAACTGCAAAAAAAAAAATAAAAGAAAATGATCTCTGAGGTTCTAAGAGAATATCGACTTAGCGTTTAAATAAATAAATCTTAATGTTTCAGTTTCAGGAGAAATTTTCATTAGAAATATCACATGCTGTGCTATTACTTGCAACTGAAATGGGTTTATTGTTATTTCATATAACATACAAACCAAAAGTAGTATAAAATTGCAAGCTGGAGGAGAAATCACATAAATCAACAATGTTTGCCATTCATTTTACTCAGCCCTCTGTTCTTTGATATCTGTATAAAATCAAAGCAGCCAGTTCCCTTCCGCAGTTACCTAATAAGTAAATAGAGCCCATCTGTGTGTAATTTAATCCCAGTATATGTCCAGCTGTTCGATTCAGGCCTCAGAGGTTTGTTAGAGAATTAGAGAACGAACAGCCTCATGAAGATGAAGGAACACAGTGTTAACATTGTAAAGAAGCGTGGTTGGGATATAAAGCAATACTGCAGGTAAGCAACAACAGCAAATCTATGAGAAATGAGCATTCACCTAAACTGACAGGATAAACATGGAGAGCATCAGTCAGAGAAGAGAACTCTTGAAAAGTTGCACAGATCCACGACAAAGGTAGAGGAATAATTTTTTACTTTAAGTCAGAGGAAAAAATGGAAAGAGAGAAATATGGATAATAAAAAAAGACATGAAGCTGTGGTTGGGAATCACTTTATACCAAGAGGTAAATGTATATAGAGTATTTCTTCCAAATTATGGGCTTCTCTGTGTTGGTCTATAGCATAAAATCCACACGAAAACCTTTATTCATGGTTTTAACATGGTAAAATGACAAAACTTTCAAGTGGCAAGAAAGATTTCGTAAGACAGTGAAAATGTATTTTTTAACTTTGTTTTCTTACCTGTCTGATGCCAAGTCTATATGCAACAATGCGGTCCACAGCACCAGGATTCATCTGGGTCCACTGCAGCTTAAAGCCATAGACTCGGGGTCTATTCTGCCACAGAGGGCTGTAGGTATCGTAGTAAAACTCTGGAGGGTAAGCTTTACCTACAGGCAAGGACAACATAACAAACATTTAAATATTATGTTTATTTATAACCCTTCTTGTCTTTAATTTCACATTTCTAAACCTTTAAGCAGTTGGGGAACATTGCTTTCTGTGTAAAGGAAACTCTCTCTTTTTTGAGGGCTTTGGGCTGTTTACTTTTAGTGCCATTTATAACGCACTGAAAAGAAAAGAACCCAAAGCCAAAAATAATGCCTCTCTAAAGTTCCCTAGAAACTGCTCACTGAGCGCTATTTCCTACTTCAGATTTATTTAGCTTCTTTATAGGCTGGAAGGGCATTCAGTCTCGGAAAAAATCTGAATCTGGTTAAATCTCATCATTTTAGGCGTATTGATGGTAAAACCACAACAGACCACGAAAGCTTTGGTGAAACCTAAGGTTTTTTGAGACAAATATTGAATAAATAAGAAAATTTCACATGAAAGAGCACAGTAACATCTAAATAACACACCATACACATGGTTTATACAGTGTAAAAAAAAAAAAAAATGGATGTAGGAGTGAGTTAAGGTCCCTCAATAGCGTTGGACCTATATTGAGACATTAAGCGTTGTAATCATTATTGTCAATGGACTGAAAATTCAAAACAAATCCCGACAGCTTCAGTACATATCTAAACATTCTTACCTAGATGTACTTTTAATAGTTGAAAATTCTGCTAAATTTTCTTATTGTGTAGATTTTTTAGTATTCACAAGTAAATAAATGTTACCTGTTTAACCCCCTATTTCTTACACAATAACCTTTCACAAAATGTGATTGGTGTTTCTGGAAAAAACCTATACAGTGATAAAGGTTATTGATTTACCTTGGGATTCAGATATTTCACTTTGAATTTCCTCCATGAAAATGTGTTATACTTTGTCCTTCTGTCTAAATCATGACATTCTTGTCAAATGGCTCCTAGTTTTGTCCAACATAGACCAGGGGTCCGTCTACCTTGGTAAGAACCATGCAGACATGTTGGCTGGCAATTTCAAGCTCTTGGCAAATCCAAATGTTTTAATTGCTATGGACATCATCTGACAACATGCAGAAATAAAAAAACTTTCAACAGTTTGGGGTTTTAATAGATTCCTTTTAACAGTACACTGCAATATCAAGCCTTTGTAAACAATGCAATAACAAAAAGTGAAACGTAGGTTCTTGACACTAAAATAAAGAGTATTAAATGTTAGATTTATCCTACTGTACCGCAGGGTTCTTACAGAGATTTTTTTATAAGCATAATTGGGGATGAAGAAAAATATTTTTTTGTTTTTTCCATCTCTACAGCACCCATCTCTTCCTCCTTTCCCTTTTTCCTATTTAATTAATCTCAATTCTATTTCTTTTTTTTTTTTATTTAATTTCATATCTTCTCCCATTGTGCAAACCGCCATACTGACCCAGTGTGACAGTACTCTGATCCACCAGAAGCAAGGAGGGGAGGGGGGTCACGGCTACAAGGCTACTGTCACAATAACAATGCTTCCATTTCAGAGTCATAACTGGATGACCATCAGCGGGTTAGCATTTTTAAATCCTTCCTAACCTTCCCATAGACACTGCCTCCCTGTCTTCCAAGGTTGTGCTCTCTGTCTGCTGGTGGGAGCTCATGTTTTCAGGTGCCAACGAGCGCTCTTTATACCAGGCATGCCAAAAGTTGGTCCTTGAAAGCCGCAGTCCTACAGGTTTTAGATGTTTTCTTACTTTTGCACAGCTGATCTTCATTCATAGCTGATTAACAGACTTTTGCTGAACTGCAACAATCAGAATCAGTTTTGCTAAAGCAGGGAAACCTCTAAAACCTGTAAGACAGTGGCCCTTGAGGACCGACGTTGGGCATGTCTCCCTCGAAAAAGAGATTTTATCTCAAGGGACTTCCTGGTAAAATAAAGGTAAAATAAATAAAAAATAAATGTCTGCTTTAGACAGAGCATTAAGCGCACAGGGTGGAGGCGTTCATAGAACTAACTATAGGTCCACACAGACAGGGTTCACCCATTTTATACACAAATAAGGATGTATTCATAAACATAGTTTAATTAGCTTTTATATTAATCAAACCAGATAAATATCTGGTGAGAACTCTGAAATAAAGCAAACATTTTCCCTCCTCTTCCTCGCTGGCTTCATAAGTGATCATGTCTTCTATCATTTCCACAGTTACCAGAACTCTACAAACTATCTCCAAACGTTCACTCTATCCAAAACCTGATGTCTGTCAAAATGTACAGAAAATCTGAACTGCTTTTCAAAATAGTCCCATCATCGTTTTCCTCCCCTACAGGAAACAGGCCTCAATATGGGCTTTATGGAAACTCTTGTCCCTCCGCTCATCTCATAACATCACTACTGGTTGCCTATATTCATCACAGCAGTTTTGCTCTAAACGAAAGAATATCTAAAAAATAAAATCCTATGAGTTTAATAACGTAAACCTAGAAAAACTGTTAGAAAACATAAGGTTGTGATAAATTACAAATCAAGTAGGGTTTTGACATTCCGCTTTTCCTCTACACTTTTCTGCTTCACCTGTAATTTTTTTTTTCACTGCTGTGTGATGCTGTCGGCTCTATTAGAAGGTCTAACATATATGGAGCTGCTCGCTAAACTTGTACTCTGCTATCTGGTAACAGCAGACATTCTTCTTCCTTCTCATCTTTGTCTTTCTCCGATAGTGAGTGAACTATATCTACAGAAACTGATTCTGCTCTTCTGTCTGTGTTGTCAAACACTGTAGAAACAGTCACAAGTCCTAGTAAGGGAGAAGAATACATAGAAACCTAAAACAAACCTATAACAAGCTGTCCCAGAACCCTACTCTTATTATGAGTGGTTTTAATGGAAATTTGTACTTGATTTTTGCAGAAACAATGTGCAGAATATATCCATCTATCCATCCATTTTCCGTCACGCTTATCCCAAGCGGGGTCGTGAGGGGTGCTGTTGCCTATCTCTAGCTGTCTACCAGGAACACCCTGGACAGGTCGCCAGTCCATCGCAGGGAAACACAGAGACAAACAGGACAAACAACCATTCACACATACACTCACACCTAAGGAGAACTTAGAGAACTCAATTAACCTAACAGTCATGTTTTTGTACTGTGGGAGGAAGCCGGGGTACCCAGAGAGAACCCAAGCATTAATAGGGAGAACATGCAAACTCCATGCAGAATAACACTGGGCCGAGAATCGAACCCAGAACTTTCTTGCTCCAAGGCGGCAGCGGTATCCATTATATGTGCAGAATATATTTGAAAAAAAAAACAAACAAAAAAAAAAACCTTGTAATTTGGCTTTTTGGAGCAGTTGGTAATCAGGGGCTTTTTCAAAAAAATGTAACAGTGTATTTAATTTATCATACAGAGGGTCTGATCTTTAAAGTTTCATAATAAAGGGCACTAAATTGTACATAGAAATTTTTTTTGGGAAATTTGTACCGGAAAACTTACTACGCTCATTCTTTCTTGTTTTCTTGTTACTGCTTGAACCAAATAAATGTACAATGGGCAACAAGACTGAGATACAGTCTGGTTGCAACCAGGCTGAATTACTGGTTGCCCATGACTCTGGCTAGATCTGGCTGGACCACTCACAGTGCGGGAGGAGGGACCTTAGGATGCGTGACACTTGGCATCAGAATAGCAATAAATAAAAACTCAAAATCTGGAGTTTGGAAAAGGGGAATTTACGTTGCGTGACACTTGGCATCAGAATAACAAGAAATAAAAACTCAAAATCTGGAGTTTAAATTCTGATTTTAAGGTTATCTCTTCTTTACAACCCTCTTCACATCAATCCATAGATTATTCAATTAAATGTTTTCCTTAATTTAGATGCAAGCCTTGGATGATTGTCATGCTGAAATTGAAGTTCCTCTATATGTATCTTTAGCTGAAGGTTTTATGGTAATGGTGCCTTGCATGTGAAACACTTCATAATTCCCATTACCTTCTTTATAGACAGATCCACATTATACTACCATGACCATGGCTTTATATGGTTATAATGTTCTCTTTGTTGAGTTGCACTGTTTTTTTTTATGTTGAACATAAAGCTGTATAGAACGGTTCAACCTTGGCCTTATCCGTCCATGACATAATGGTGCAGGCATAGCAAGCAAATAGGAAATTGTAATCATATGTAAAAGGCATCCAATATTTGCTAGAAATTCCTATTCTTAAATATTAATGTAGTCTCCATGGCAGCTTCCCTAACCATCTTTTTAAATCAATTTTGGAGGGTATTGAATTGCTAGTTTTCTTCCTAGTGCTCCATATGTGCACCTCTTGATGGCTGTCTTTACTGTGTTCAATGTTACAACTAATGCCATAGAAATTATTTTCCACTGTTTTTCTGCTTATTGACTTTTTTGACCTTGAGATCCCTCTGGCAATTTATAGCTTTGGCTAAAACACATTTTAAAGTCATGTCAGCAAATGTATTTGCATATTAGAGAAAGTATATATTGATGTTAGTTCATGCTCAATGTTTTCATTTAGCTTTGTTCTTTTGGAATGTCTATATAAACACAACCCTATTTTTTGTTTACATACTTGATTACTGTGTAGACTTTTTTATCCACTCTAAATCATGTAGTTACACCTTAGTAGAGCAATGCATGCATGACATCTTTTTTATTATTATAAAACATTTAGCACAGGTTTTAAACCAATAAAAAACATCTGAAAATGTTTACTAACTATAGGTCTGCAAAAGTGTTACAAAATAACACAAACTTCATAACAATGGTAAACAAAGATGGACATAACCTAGTTACTGTAACAAGTCAACAGCACTGAATTGTGTCTATCAATACAGTAGAAAACAAGATTCTCTATGTTTTCTGCAGCCTCTTAATAGTTTAGTCAATTTTCATAATAACTCAGCCATTCAAATCTCCACAAACAGCAGGTTTTGTTGTGCATTTCAGACAATAAATCAGCTTAATGATGCTTCGGGAAGCATGTTGCAGATCATTTGGCCTTTACAT